TTCCTGCTGCAGTCAACCATGACAGAATAGGCCAGTTGCGTGGTTGGTGACGTCTCTGTGTCCTATAGGAGCAAAGCTCGTGAGATAGCAGCTATCGCCTTGAACTCTCTTTATTTTATTGGAGTATGGCTGGTAATAAACAGTAATATTTAATTTGTCTGAGACCACAAATCGGCTTCTAGCTGGAAGACTTCTTCGCCTTGACATATACAGTCTTAGAGAGCCTGGACTTGCGGTCCTTTTCCCAGCTTTTTTTTTTTTTTTAATTCCTTGTTCACCCTCCCCCCCCTCCCCAACCTGCAGACGGAAATAAATTCGGTTTATTTGCATCGTTTTCAGCTTGTCTTCAAGGTGTTTGAGAGCTAGTTTGGAACTGAAGAGGTGAGTGCTTCCTTTGCAGCAGTAGAGCTTTCTGAAGCCGTGGGCAGTAGCCGTGTTTAATGTACGCTGTGGCAACTTAGAGATTTTCACTTTTGCCTTTCTTTCTGGCGAGGGGAGGGAAGTTGGTGCTCTCTCTCGCTATCAGCCGGGAGCAATCCTTTTCCTCTGTGCTATTATTATTATTACTACTACTATTACTATTACCGTTATTATTATTTTGACCTGTGCTTTACAAGGCTGCTCTCGGCGAGCCGCACAGCAGCGGGGCGAGCCTTCCGCTCCGAGCACACGTGCAGTTTTGGGCAGGGGTTTAGCGCTGCGGAGAAGCAGAGGGCAGGAGCCTGCGTTTCTTCCCCTTCGGCTGGGAACTTTCATTGAGAAAATCCGGGGGAAGGGCGAGCTCCCAGCAGCAGCAGCAGCAGCAGCAGCAAGCGGCCCCCCTGCGACCGGCTGCTTTTTTCGGTTCGCACCTCTGAGAGCCGCAGCCGAGCGATGGGAAAGGGGTTTGCAAGACGCACAACATGCACACTCGCGCCAAGGCCGACGATCGGGCTGCTTCCGACAACGCTCGCGTTATCCGCGGGGTGGGGGGGGGAACCCACGATTTGCTCGCTCGTTTGTTTGTGTTTGGAAAGGCTCCACGTCTCATTTCCCTCGAAAAATAATGAAATATGGGACAAGCTTTGTTCTGTTTGTTTAAGTAGTATTCTCTGGCTTATTCTCTGTGGTTACAAGTGCAGCTATTTTATTATTATTATTTGCAACCGTTTACTGTTCCCTGTTTCTTCTCAAGGAGCTATTGCCCTGGCGTGCACATGAAGAGGGTTTAGGAGATGCCAAACTACACCCACACACGCACCCCCTCCCTCGACATAGACACTCACCCACACAGACATTTCGCCCAAGTGTTTTCTCCTCACCTCAAACTTTCAGAGGGCTCCAGCGTTATCGCGCCAGGGCTCTGCCCTGCGAGAGCTCTGAGCAATAGCTGATTTGCTGAAACTTCCCGTGAAATGCGAAAGAAATGACCGGAGGGGGGAAAAGGGGGAGACGGGTGGGGGGGGGGGGAAAGAAGAGGGTGGAGGAAAGAGGAGGAGGGTGGGCAGAGTAGATCTAAACCATGCCATTTATTCCAAGTCTTATCAAAAATCCGCCTCGCCAATCTGGTTCTCTTCAGACTGCAGAATGCGACAGGGAGGCTGTTTACCCTGCGCTGACCTATTCAACTTTACCCTCAAAATAATACATTAAAAAGAGAGCGAGAGGGAGAGAAGGAAGATGCAGATAAACCCACATCCCCGCTCCTCGCTGACGGCTTGATTATTTGAATATAGCCGAGGCTCGGAGCTTTGTATATCTTTGCTCTCGCCGGGGAGTGGGGCGAGCATTCCCGCTGGCTGGCGGCAAAGGTGGTGCTTGGGGTCGGCGGGGGGG